ACATCCCTAACCCCATCAGCACAAATGTAACCCTAACCCCACCAGTACATACCTAACCCTAACCTTACCCAAACAGTACATACCTACCCATAAAACTTACCCCATTAGTACAAACCTAACTCTAAGCCCAACATAACCAGCACATGCCTAATCCTAAACCTTACTTCACAAGTACTTACCCAACTGTAAATCCAACCCCACCAGTACACACCTAACCCTAACCCCAATGGTACAAACCTAACCCTATTCCCAACTCCACAAGTTCACACATAATCATAAACCCAACCCCATCAGTACATACCTATCCCTTAACCTAAACCCACCAGTACAAACATAACATTAAACCTAACATGACCAGTACATACATATCCCTAAACCCAACCCCACCAGTATATACCTAACCCCAAACCTTACCCCATTAGTACATACCTAACCCATAACCTATCCCCCAAGTACACAACTAACCCTAAACCAGGGCTATTCATCTAAATTTCTTTGGGGGCCACAGTTACTACAGGTCAATAACTCAGGGGCCAAACATCTAGCAATTAAAGTCATTATGTAATTAAACCAAGTATTACAAAAATCTGTTACCTTTTAAATAGTTTATTCTGCTGCATTTAATCATGAATACAACATACAGACCCCTATGGAATAAGTGAAAATATAACAATGTCAAATACAAAAATAACACATTATGCCTCCTGTTTGACACAAATATTTTTGACATACCTGACTTGCCAAACTTTTTAACCAATTTTATTTTCACTTTAAAAGTTTTATCTTCAACTGCTTGTAGTTGTAACTGCCTTGAGTGTTCATAGAAATTGTTTTACCAGCTTGTAGCCAAGATTCTGACGTTTCTGTAGACACCAAACATGTCTATGTTTAACTAAAAAAATAGAGTAATTAAAGTAGAAAACCAGGGGTTTGGGCTTAAGAGATGAATGAACCAATTGGCGGGCCGAACTTTGGTCACTCGGGGGCCAGATGTGGCCCCATGGTTATGATGAGTGGGGATGGATATAAAATCCATATGAGCGGAGGCTTCCTAAGTGGGCCCATTGCTCTCCCCAAAAAGACACTGGTCTTCATTCAAACCTTCTTGTCCCTCGGATGAAGGACACAAGGTTAGAAACACAGTGTTCTGAGCTTCTCAGGATCCATAAAGGGGTCCCCAAGAATTCTTTTCCTTTGACCACTCAGAGCCAAGCAGTGGCCTAAGTAGTGCAAAGAGGTCTCTAATYMADWGCCACAGGCATCACACAGACCATTGTCATGGAGTCCCATCACCATTTTGTGGCGGTTGAGCAGATTATGCCCAGTTAGGACTCCATCCAGTGTACTTAGAGTTTTCCTTGACAGGGAAATGAGAGCTTTCCCAAACCTTAGATTTGGACCGTTAATCAGTTCCCGTACCTGTCTACAGTCCGTCAGCTCTCTCCAGCAGATTGAGTGTTGACGTCTAATCCAGGCCTGTAGGGCAGTCCTACAGACTGTTGTTGAGGTACCTACAACAGGCTCTGGTCCTTTGAAGTGAGCCTGACTGCCAGCTTTTGCGAGGTAGTCAGCTCTCTCGTTACCATAAATGCCATTATGTCCAGGTACCCACTTAACAGTAACACTGTTATCTCTCCCCAGTTGGTTGACTGCTTTGGCACACTCCCAAGCCAGTAATGACGTAAAATGTGGCCCTCGGAGAGCTCTAATAGCAGCATGGCTATCTGTTAGGATGAAAATTTCCTTCTGTGTACACTGAAGGTCTTTGAGAGATGCCACACACTGGTGGATTGCATATATCTCAGCTTGAGATACAGTTGCAAAACAACGTAGTGGGTATTTATGGTCTCTCTTACTATGGTTGTGCAAAATAAGCACCCCTGCACCTACTGACCCATTCAGAAGGGATCCATCTGTAAAACAGTAGAAATGATTGGGAGACATGTCCATCGTAGGGAGGTTAATCCAGACAGACCTCTCTTCTATCTCTGTCTTAAAACTTGGCTCAAAATTGTATTTTTTGACCATTCTGTCTCTAGGTCCTGCAGTTACTGGAACAGCAGCAACTACCCAGTCCCAGATTCTAGTGTGTTGTGAGTCAGATAGACTTTTCCACCTACCAGACTGGCGTAGCCTTACTGCACTGGCTGCAGCCTCCCCTAAGATATGTAAATCTAGTGGAGCCAGGTCCAGTAGTAGCCGTGGGTGTTGTTCTGATGGAACCGGTGATGCTCAGGCAGGCCATTCATTGCACATGGGTGAGCATCACTCTTGCCACCCCAACTTGGGCTCGAACCCACCACACTAAAGCAGCATAGCATAGCATGGGGTGGACTATGGCCATGTAGATCCACCTGATAACCTTTGGGGTAGCACCCCAACGACTACCCGCAATTCTACGGCACTGGTGTAGGCACATTGCTGCCTTCTTACACTTTTCATTTACATCTTTTCCAGTTAAGCTTCCTGTCTAGATAGACACCCAAGAATTTAACTGACTCTGACAGGGAGATTGGCGGGCCGAACTTTAGTCACTCGCGGGCCGGATGTGGCCCTAATCCTAAACCCTAACTTAACACGTTGAATAGCCCTGCCCTAAACCTTACTTCAAAGTTACATACCTGACTATAGAACCCAATCCCACCAGTACATACCTAACCCTAAACCCCATCTTGCTCATTGCATACAAAACCATAAATACAGCCATACCACACTGATCATATTGAATTTTGTAAGCTAAGCAAGCCTGGGCATGTTTACCACTTGGATGGGAGACCCCCTGAGAATGCCACATGCCAAAAAATCTACATAGGAGTTTTACCCACATTGGAAAAATACTATTAAGAGAAAACTTTTGGCCATACAAGGTCATAGGTTGACTTAAAAATGGATGTCAAGAAAACATAAACCCTCCAATACACACCTAACCCTAAACCCAACCCCACAGGTGCATACCTAACCTTAAACCTTACGTCACTAGTACAAGCCTTAATCTAAACTCAACCCTGCCAACATACATTTAACCCCACCAGTACAAATTTAACCATAAACCTAACCCCACCATTTTATAACTAACTATAAACCCAACCCCAACAGTCCATACCGAACCCTAAACCCACCAGTACAATTATAATCCTAGACCAGCCCCACCAGTACATACCTAACCCTAAACCCAACCCCAGCAGTACAAACCTAACCCTATCCCCAACCCCACAAGTTCATACCTAATCCTAAACCTTACCACACAAATGCTTACCTAATAAACGTGATCCCTTCACTACATATCTAACATTAACCCTATCCAAAGCAGTACATATCTAACCCTAAACCCGTCCCCACCAGTATACATCTAACCCTATATGCAACCCCACCATTACATATCTAACCATAAAACCCCTTCACCTCAGTACATGTCTAATGCTAAACCCATTTTGCCCATTGCAAACAAAACCATAAATATGGCCATACTACCCTCCAATACATACCTAACGCTGAAACACCCCAACAGTACTGTTTGTTGTTACAGTTGTAGGGATTTGTGATTTTTCTTTAATTTTTGCTCCTCAGTGTTCTTCCCTAGTTCCTCTCATGAACACCTGATCCTTGTTGTCTTTCCTCAGGTGTGTTTTGTTATCCCTTGGTATCACTTCTTTTAAAATCTGTCCTGTGCTCACTCACAAGTTTATCTGCTGCCCCATCATTGTCCTTATTTTTGCAAATGAATACGTTTTTCTGTGTCAAACTACTTCTAAATCAGAACATTGGTAAAAACAGTAAAAGTAAAAAAAATTCATCACAAACACCTAAGCATTTTAATTGGAATGTTAAACTTTTTATCTCCCTGACATGATAAAACTAGGGTGTTACAGTAGAGTTTGATGAAAATCTGCTTAACTTCAGAAAGCATATGGTGAGCAAACAGCTTCAGCGTACATTCTCATTATATCTGGTCCACTTCCAGCTGACATGCTCAATCAATAACGCTCATGTACCCTTTGACCCCTCCCAGATACTGTCTTTGGATTTTCTGCCGACCAACACAAGCTGCTCCCTGCTGTCTCTTCAAGTCTCTTCTGAGTCCCGTCACTGCTGACAATGAAAAGATCTGTAAAGTTTGCTTTGCATCAGTCAGACCCTCTGCTGACTCGCTGTAAGGAGAAACTGAAAAGTAGACACCTCCACCATGGAGCTACATGTTCAGATGAGACAGAAGGGAATAAATGGCATCCCACTGCTGTCAGTCGCCATACAATCTGATGTTTGACACTTTCTGAACACTAATTCAGTACAGTGAGCAGATTTTACTCTGAGAATTCTTCAGATAATAGTAACAAGGGCTTACTCTCAACCAGAAGTTCACATACTGTAAGTATCTTGTTTTACCACATAACTACAAATCACGGAGCAATTGGGACATTTTTTTTACTTTGCTTCTAGAATTAATCCTACAAAATCTGTTAAATGGTACATTTAGCATAAAAAATGTGAGCTTATATTGCTCAACCACTCATCTTTAGTTCTGTCCCAGTTGGAAAATAGAAATGTACCTTTCTTATCAGCTCCTGCAGTTCTCATAATAAGATACAAATATAACGTGAACTGTATGTGCAGTAATGGAGGCTGCTTCTTTGGTATTTTAACCAAAGCATGTTACAGATATTGTCATATAAACTTCAGAATTTATCAACGTGTAAAAATGTTCAAATCTAATTTAAAACACTACAATGATGGGTAAAAAAGAGGTCAAAATACTATAAAGGGCTTAAAAAATCAAGCCAAGGAGGTGACGATTATCCACAATCGGTGAAGAACAGACGGATAATTTTGAATGGTTTTATCTCAGAATTAATTGTTTTGGTGTAATAAATCCAAGAAAATTATTATTACATTCACCAAAAAAATGTCACCATGGTGTCAAACCTTTCTTATTCAGTTAATCCATTCATTTGTCTTTTTTTGTTACCACAGCAGTTAACTACGCCACAACAACTTTCACTCACCCGTCCCTGTTTTCATCTTCATCTGCGTTGGAGAGCAGCTGCGAGCCGGCCAATGAGAGGTCCAGAGCTGCGAGCGGCAGATCTCTGTAGCCAAAGCTCACCAGCTGGACCGGAGGAGCCAGGCACTGGTTCTCATCCTCCACCGGCTGCGAGATGATCTCCAAGTCTGACAGACCTGCCTGTTCCACTTCCCTAGTTCCATGCCAACACCAGCAACAGACACACACACACACACGCACACGCAGGCACACACAGGAAATAAAAGGAGAAAAAAGACAAGCAAGATTTACTAAATGAACCCATTTCTCAAAAAAAAAAAATCATTTCAAACCAGTAATCTAATTTTAAAACTTAAAAAAGGAGAATGATTGTAATTAGTGCACGGTCAGATTTCTCAATTTAACTACCCAGGTAAATACTTTTTTTAATTGATGTTATACAATTTATGAATAACTAAAACAAGCTCATACTGAGAGAACAAAAAGGAAAGTTAGAATATTTTTATGCTGTGTAAAAGAACTAGAAATAGAAGAAAAATAATTCTTAATTCCAGCCATGTCATTCAGCCACTTTCTGAAACTGTAAATGGATAAAAATTGAAAACCTGACCCTCAGACAAATATAAGTTGAATTTATTTATTTTGAACAGGCAAAACTGGATGTTTCCAGTAAAATATTCTAATAACTTAAAACAACTATAGTGACCATGTTTGAAAGAATTTCTTTCAGTTATGCTAATATTTTTAGCTAATTATGTCTCCGGTTCACTTAAATATTTAAAAGCAGTTACAGTAGTTACTGTATGATTTTAAACCGTAAAAAATCACAGTTTTGTTTTGAAAAAAATATTATGAAAGGGTAAAAATTTGTCACATTATTTATATAATGAATAGTAACTTGTGCATTTATATAAACAAATATTTAAGAAGTAAAAAAGTGAAAAAATAACCAATGTAAAATAAAGATGTCATTCACAGTAATTTAAATACAAGACTCGGCCATTTCCAACCATCACATTAACAGGGACTATGGCTGTGTCTCAGTTCATGGGTTGAAGCTGACATCAGCCTCATTTATCGGCCGTTTACACTGCTCCACGCCGTAGGTCGTCCCAATTTACTCATGTAGCCAACAAACACAACTGACAAATCCCAAAAACATAGGCTGCATCTGTGTATCGTACGTGGCAGATGGTATCCCAGAATTCATTGTGCCGTCAACAAATTAAACAGGAAAACAAGTTTTTTAAATTTATTTTATGGCAGAGTATTTTTTTATTATGGTGGAGACCACCATTAGCGGCTCTCCAGCAGTCGCCGTGCAGCCGGGACCTCAGGCCGGCTGGGTGAAAGTTCGAAGTAAGCGTTAGTCCTAAGCCCAAGCCACCAGCTCACCACCGACCCATTCACATTTCAAACCGATTATCCTCACTCAGCGACACTGAGAAACCGATCCTGGTTATCGGCAGCTCCATATTCTGAAACGTGACATTATAGGGACTCCAGCGACCATAGTTAAGTGCGTTCCGGGGACCAGAGCTGGCGACATTGAATCTTATCTGAAACTGCTGACTAAAGCTAATGCTAAGTATGGTAAGGTTGTTATTTATGTCAGCGGTAATGACACCCGGTTACGCCAATCGGAGGTCACTAAAATGAATGTTGCTTCAGTGTGTAACTTTGCCAAGACCATGCCGAACTCCATAGTTTTCTCTGGTCCTCTCCCCAACCTGACCATTGAAGATATGCTTAGTCGCATGTCATCGTTCCATCGCTGGGTGTCCAGGTGGTGTTCTAAAAACAATGTCAGCTACGTAGACAATTGGAGTTCTTTTTTGGGAAAACCTGATCCGATGTGGAGAGATGGCATTCATCCCACTTTGGCTGGAGCCGCTCTCCTTTCTAGGAATCTGGAAGATTTTGTTGACCACCAAAATTCTTGACAACCCAGGGTCCAGACCAAAAAGCAGAGCTGTAGTCTTACACATCTCTGCTGTTTCCTGAATGATCATGGACCAAAGATTTTGTTTTTAAACGTAAGTTTTACCTATTCAAACTTTTGTTGCAATGAGATGTTAAATAAAATGCAGTTAGTTCTGCATAGGAGCTAAATCCAAATTATTAATGTTTTTTATTTATTTACTTGTAACATTTTTCTAATAAAATGGAATTTTGTGAATTCATATCTTGTAAAAACAACTGAAGTATCGTGACATAAAGCGTATTACTATGGTAACGAGGCGTGGTCACGCAAACATACGTCTTCCATAGTCTAGACCAGAGGTTCTCAAAGTGGGGTCCCTGGACCCCCAGTGGTCCGCAAGAGGTATCTTGGGGGTCCTCAAACATTTTTACTAAAATGTTAATTTGGTTTTTGTTTTTAAAAATGCATGGAGAACAATGAACTAATAAAACAAACATAATAAACTTGATAAAAATATATATTCCCATGGCATTTAGGGGTTGAAATGGCAATAAATTATCTTTTAAAACAGCGTTTGGTTTATGAGGGGGTCCCTGGAATTTTTTTCACCCTTGTAAGGGGTCCCCAGACCCAAGTGGCTTGAGAACCCCTGGTCTAGACTGTCTCATTTCACAGATGTTTATGCAGTCGACACGAGCAGCCAATGGCCTACGTAGGCTGTGGCCAACGTGGACCACACTCTGTGTCGGCTGCTAACCCATGAATTGAGACATAGCCTATATGGAGTTGGTTCCCTCCTTTTTGCATTAAACTAGGGCAAGAGTTTTGAGTGTATTGTCTGTGCCCATTCATTTTGTAGTGCATTTCTGAGGTCAGGTTGTGTTTTTGGACAAGTAGTTCTGTCTCACAAATCCAATTCCACTTCCAGTTCATTTCAGAGGTTCTCGAAGGCGTTGAGGTCAGAGTTTTGTGTGAACCACACCAAACACATCTAACTATGACCAATCAACAGCTGACGTCAAATTCCCCACAGGCTACCATTCACCTGGAGCCACCGGTGAGGAGGTTCCAGAACAGAAAGTGGGCTGCAACAGGCAACGGAGACGCATTAAACTGACGCTGAGTTGAATTGAAGAGAGTCAAGTCTGCGTAAAGGAAGCCAATATTGCTTTAGTCTTTGCTTTGTGCACTGGGGCATGATCACATTTAGAATAGAAAAGTGTTTTTCCAAAGTGTTGCCACATAGTTGGAAGTGTAGCATTGTCCAACTTGTTTTGGTTTGATGTAATGGTTAGATTAAGATCAAGGGTGTCCAATCTTGGTCCTTAAGTATGGAAGTGTAGAGCTGCCACATGACATGAAATTACTTTTAAACTGGATCTCGTTATAATGAGAAAACTATCTTGTAAAAACGAGAAAACTATCTTGTTATATCAAGATAACCATCTTGTTATAACATGTTATGATTTCTTCTGGTTTGTCACTTTCACTGAAGTTTATTGCCTGGATGGTGTGATGGAGAACACAACTGAACCACTATATAAATAAAAACGAACAGAATTATTTGGGTTTGTGCTCAGATGTTGCAGCTAGTAGCACTTAATAATATTCACTCTCTAATCTGAATTCAGACGCTATTATTTCAAAAAACATTATTCAGTATGAACTTGTCATTTTTTTAGTCTAGAAATGTGTTCCTCTTTCAGATTTCTTCTTCATAAAAAGGCATATAGTGGCTCCATCAAGCCATCCAGGCAATAAACTTCAGTGAAAGTGACAAACCAGAAGAAACCATAACACGTTATAACAAGTGGTTATCTTGATATAACAAGATAGTTTTGTCATTTTTTACAAGATAGTTTTCTCATTATAACGAGATATTTTAGTCGTTATAATGACATATTTCAGCATTTTTACAAGATAGTTTTCTCATTATAACGAGATATTTTAGTCGTTATAACGACATATTTTCTCGTTTTTACAAGATAGTTTTCTCATTATAACGAGATATTTTAGTCCTTATAACGACATATTTTCTCATTTTTACGAGATAGTTTTCTCATTATAACGAGATATTTTAGTCGTTATAACGACATATTTTCTCGTTTTTACGAGAAC